ATTTTTAATTGGAATTATGTTAAACTTAGAGATTAATTTAGAGACAGTTGGCATATACTAGTGTGGGTCTTCCTCTTATGGGGGCGTCTTTTCATTTATTCACATGTTTGTGTCTGTTCCTTAATAATATCTTCAAATTTTATTCATATACATCGTACGCATAACTTGATAACTATGATGCATGAGATCTGTTTGCAGCTATTGTGATGGACTTCTTTGTTTCGTTATATTTCTTCTATTACATTGACAGATACTCTGTTACCCCAACACGTAACTGAATTCTATTGTTGGCGACGTTTTCTAACTGAATAACCTGGATGTCGTTGAGTACTCCTTGTTCCTATTCACTTCTTCCTTCTTTCTAATTGCATCTACGATGCCTTGTGCCCATTGTCTAGTAGTGATAAGCATCATGGATATGTCATGTTCCTAACTTTAAGGAGACTGCTTTCTGGGGTTTCATGGGTAAGCACACAGGGTGCGTGTGTGTGTGTGTGTGTGTGTGTGTGTGTGTGTGTGTGTGTTCCCATTCCCCTACATTGCCCTGTGTGTGCCCCATTGTTTTTATAGCCGGGATTGGGAGAAGGGTGGCCCTAGAAAACAGAGGGTGAGCAGAACAGATTAGAAAATGAGCCAGGCAGGTGGGGTCTGTGGCTCCGGCCTGGGTACCCTCAGAGATGGCTCCTCCTCTGTCCTCATCCCTTGAGGTCTCTGACACCGCCCCCTGCACCCCCCACCATGACTTCCCCGGCCCTGGATCGTGTCCCCATCACAGAGTTCACCCGAACTCAGAGTCTAGTCCCAGCCCTGCCTCCTGTCCTCCTGAGCCTCACCTTCCCATCCGCAGAGTGACCTAATACCACGTCATCAGCTGGGCACGGAAGGCACTTTTGTGAACAGCGATGCAACCAGGACGCCTTTCAGCAGCTGGTGGTCCTGCGGCCACACACACTGTACTCACGATGGTGCCATCAGCGCTCCAGCCAGTGGAAGCTGAACAGAATCGTGCGCATGGAGAGGTAGGGGCTACACAACACGCTCCGACGGCGACCGTGAACCTCCCCGGTTCTGAGCCCTGGCTCTCAGCCCCCAGAGCAGAGGCCTGCTCTTCCCAGGAAAGGAAAATAAATGGCTTTGGCGTTTCTGACTGGCACCCTGGGGCCTTTGAGGGCAGAACCGCTTTATTCCAGCTCAAGCTGCTCAAGAAGAGCCTTGACAGCCACAGGCAAACCCTCCTGCAGCCAAGGTCAAGGCCTGTCTGTGCGCCACGCCAGCTGGGCAGCTCCAGACCACGAGAGGGTTTCTGCAGGGCAAAACCGGTCCCTTAAAATCTAGGCAGTGGGGCGCCTGGGTGGCTCAGTCGGCTAAGCGTTTGACTCTTGGTCTCAGCTCAGGTCACGATCTCACAGTTTCATGAGTTCAAGTCCTGTGTCGGGCTCTGTGCTGTCTCCTCTCTCTCTCTCTCTCTCTGCCCCTCCCTGCTCTCTCTCTCTCAAAAATAAATAAACATTTAAAATACTTTTAAAAACTTAAAATAAACGCTTTAAAAAATCTTAGCAGGAGGGGCGCCTGGGTGGCGCAGTCGGTTAAGCGTCCGACTTCAGCCAGGTCACGATCTCGCGGTCCGTGAGTTCGAGCCCCGCGTCGGGCTCTGGGCTGACAGCTCGGAGCCTGGAGCCTGCTTAGGATTCTGTGTCTCCCTCTCTCTCTGCCCCTCCCCTGCTCATGCTCTGTTTCTCTCTGTCTCTCAAAAATAAACATTGAAAACAAATGTTTAAAGAAATCTAAGCAGCCTCTTCTAACCTCCAAAAACGCTTTTTAAAATGTAATAACACACAACAAATTGGGAGAGAAAAAAAAGATGTCTGCCACCATTATGAATATAAAGGATGCTGTCTTTGAGCAAACTGATAACACGATCATTAAGATCATCCATGGGTAAATGAACAAGGACATGAACAATTTCCAGGAGAAAAAGCTGGAAAACATACGAGTGTGTTTTTCTACTTTCTTTTTTACTTATTCCTAGTTTCTCGGTGTTCTGCAAAGACCTGTGATACTATTTTGGCGATCAGAAAAGAATTGCTTTATTAATCTAGACAGCTTTTTCAAGAAAGGCCTAAAGCTTCTTCCTTGCTGTCATGTTCTACGACGAATAGCACCCGACGTGCACTTAGGCATCAGAAGCCAACAGACATTTGGCACGTACGTTAGAAGCCCCCCTGGGCTCAGACAGGAGGGCTGGGAGTGGGGCCATGAGAGGAAGTAGCAGACCCAGAAACGTGCAGGAAGAGGATGCAGGTTTCGGTCCAGGGTCTTCTGTCAGATGTCCCGGGTTTAGGTACCAGCTTGGCTACCTAGCAACCATGTGACCTCGATCCACACACTCACAGCTGGAGTAGCTCACATTGATGTAAACTGGGGGCGATCGTACCTTTAAGGGTTGTCGTGAGAAGTCACCGAGATGACGGACAGAAAGGACTCAGCACTGTGCCCGGCACGTGGTAAGCATTCAATAAATGTAAGACCACAATTTGCATAGTCACTATGATGGAAAAGGTTCATTCCAGGGGTGCCTGGGTGGCTCAGATGGGTAAGCGTCTGACTCTTGATTTTGGCTCAGGTCATGAGCTCACGGTCCATGGGTTTGAGCCCCTTGTCCGGCTCTATGCTGACAGGGCAGAGCCTGTGTGGGATTCTCTCTCTCCCTCTTTCTGCCTCTCCCCGCTCTCTCTCTCTCTTTCTCTCTCTCTCGTGCGCACACTCTCTCAAAAATAAATAAACAATAAAAAAGAAAAGAAAAGAAAAAGACTCCTTCTGGAGCAGGAATGAGCAATCAGATGTGATTTTAGTCCTAGTACAGAGTTTACGGTGTGACCTTGGGTGAGTCACATGACTCCTGGGTCCCAGATGGTCTCCAAAGCCTCTTCCAACCCAGATATTCTGAGTCTTATGCTTAGACTGTCCCCGTTGACCTTCTGGGGGCTCAGCGAGCTCACAGCTCACTCTCCTAGTGACCACCCTCACCCAGGGGGACCCAGTAACATGGCACCTTGCAGACACGCTGTGGCTTGGAGCCCAGACTCTGAGGGTAGGAGGCTCTCCACCTCCAGGCTGCCCTCCCTTCCCCAAGGAAGTGACTTCTTGTTTGGACCTCTTCACCATTTCCATGGAGACAGGGGACAAAGCAAGAGGGCATTGAAAAGCCTTCCTTCAGGAAAAGGCTCCTCCCCTCCCCGAGGAACCCCCACTCCAGTGACGCACTTTCCTAGATCCACAGAAACCAAAAGGATTTCCCATCCCAGCAACCTCCGGGCCATTCTGGGGAAAGGAAACGGGACCAGGCTACCCATTTCCTGGGTAGGGGACACCCTACCAAGCCAGTCCCCACCAAGTGTCGCCCTGCTACACCCAGGCAGCTTCTGTCTGGGCTGCAGATTCCTCCTCTCCTACGGTTCCTGCTAGTTCCTTCCATACAGGAGGAATTTTCCATAATCCCTGCTGTGGGACCCGAGCCCTCAAGCAGCAGAGGACAAAACCTCACAAAGAAGGCCTGAAATGAATCGTC